CACACACACACACACACACACACACACACACACACACACACACACACACACACACACACACACACACACACACACACACACACACACACACACTGTGTCTTTGATACATCCGAACTAACTTAAGTCAAACTGTAAAGCAGTTCCCCTGTTATTGCAGCTTTGTTTTAACACTCAAACGAAAACACAGCAGCCTTATGCTTCCCCACACTATGCTCACTGCATGTATGTCCTGTATTCATTCATCCTCAGGTACTTAGACATCTATTCTTTATACTAGAAGTTTTGAATGTGCGTTGCTGAACATTGCTCTCCTTGGGTCACTTTTCCCACATCTCCATCCTCTGCACGTGACACAGGATCATGAGCCGGATATCTTTCTCCCACCTGACTGTAGACCTGCATACATTTGAACTCCTTTCATGTCCCGTGTTGCAGCTAATGTGTTCACACCGCTCTTCTCCTTCGTCTTGGGTCAGGCTCCGTGGTTTTTGGGATCCATTTCCTTCCAGCTCTTTGACTTTTTGATCCACGCATTGCCGAGTTGTGAGCACTACATGTGATACCATTAGCTGTTAGCACCTCTGCAGCTCTGCTGTAATCACCTGGAAATGTGCACTTCATAATGTGTGATTGATCTGAGGGGAGTCTGAGCACTGTCTGTGTGAGTGTGTGAGTCTCTAACAGTGACGTGTGAAATGTGTCACTCCCTTTACACTGCTCGCTCCGTCCATACGTCCATCTCTCTCTGTTTGAGCCCCCTGCTCTCCACAGACTGACCTCTTCGGGGAAATTAATGTTTCTCAGTGTAACTTTACACAACAGTCGGTATCACTAACTACTGTTGCACTGATGCTATCAATAAAAGCACTTCAATATATTAATAGGCCAAGTTAGATAAACGAAATCAAGGAAATACTAAATCATAATACACACCTCCAAGGCATTATTGCATGGATAATTACAAGCTGACAAATCATTAAACGCATGTGTTTCACTCAAAATCCCCAAGTTAAAAATGTGAGTATTGCTGATTGCAATGAATCCTTTTTAAACAAAGTAAGAGGAAGTTTAGAAAAGATTGGTGATATATTTTCTTTTAGCTGTGTTACTGTGATACCAACCAATGTTTGAGTGAAAATAAATGTTTGACATCGCTATAACCTTTGTAAAAACTTTTTTTTTTTTTAAAGCCACAAAGACCACCGGCTGAAATGCATGCAAAATAACTAGCGGACAGCTCGAATGTCAGAGTTTCTGGATAATCCTTTATTAAATTGTAAATGTGCAAATTAAATTCATGATTTTGTGGAGCTATCAAGTTACTATATGCAAACTGCAACATACCTTCTAGACATTTATTAACTAAAAGATTTTATAACAGGTGAGCCTTAGTAGTAGATCAAAGTGTTACCAAACAATGTAAGCTGCTTTAGATATTGTACTCTGTTGGTATTTATTTAGCGCAGTTAGTGTTCTGCTTTGTCATTTCTGAAACAAACCTTTTAGGAATGTCTCACACAGACCTGCTTACTATTGCTGTATTTACACTCTCAAACACACACACACGCACACACACACATACAGTCACAGATTTAGGGCCTCATTATGCAGGAATGTGTAGTATTTCTATAGATTGTGTGTGATTGTGGATGCTGAGATGCTTCACTGCAGCAAAGTAAAGATAGCGCTCTTTAGAACCTCCCTGACAATTTCCTTTTGGCTAATGACGCTCAAGTCTTATCAATACTCAGCCCTTCCTCACACCATCGACCCTGCAAACTCTCACACGCCCCACGGCCTTATCTTCATTCGATATTTCTGTCTCTTGGTAGCTGGAGGAGGAGAACCCCACACCTTGCTGCTAACCACAGCTGTATGTTTAGGGTGGGAGAATTAGAGGTTTGAGTGCAGGATATGGCAGCCCATAAGGTCTAAGTGCAGGATATAACAGCCTGTGTGTGTTTAGGAGAGGGAGAGGGACGGAAAACAGTAAAAAAAACAAATGTGTTCATCTTCTCACCTGAGTGGTTAATGTTTGCCTCTCATTGCTACATAATGTCTGTATGTCTTTATGTGCAGCTAACAAGATAAAACACTGGTTTTGAGGTGGTGTAAAGAGAAGTCACTGGAGATGTTCTTGTTTGTGGTTTTAGTCCAGGTGATGCGGTTCAACAGGGAGCGAGCTGCACCAGACGTGAGCCAAGAAGAACATTCACACAACTACAGTGTGAGCAGCCTAACCACGGAGACCGGCTTCAGGTACACACACACACACACACACACACACACACATCATTTCCATTTTAAAGAGATGCACCATGTTATTCTAAAGTGCTGAAAAGATTACGTCACTCTACAAAAAACTCTACAAACGAAATGTTTCTACTCTAAATAAAGTACCCGTACACATTCATGGTGATAAAACAACATATTCCCCAGTTAAACAGTGTGGTTCAATAGTTAATAGTATTTGGAGATGAATGGTGTTGTATGGTACACAGGAATATACTGTCAGGCTTTGGTAACACCAACCTACGATATGGCCCCTTTTTAATAAAGGATAAAGCTATAAAAATCCAGAACAAAGCATATAGAAAAAACAAGCCTTGTCTCTGTCGATACAGATATCATTTGTTTGATAGGAAATCATCGTGCTTTTGAGCTCATTTATGAATGGTTTGTGAACAATAATAAGATCTAGAGTATCCCCCGCTTTACCCATAAGCAAATTGAAGCTAGCGAGGGTGCAGATTACAAAAAGGCTTTTTCTTGTTTTTATTTGTGTCACAGAGAGGGCTCCAGTCTGGAGGAGGTGGTGGAGAAGCAGGCCGACCTCATAGAGTATCTGAAACAACACAACATCTTACTGAGCAAGAGGCTGCTAAACCTCACGGCTCAGCACTGACCACAGTCCCTCCTCCTCCTCCTCCTCCCTGTGAACCCGATCATTTTAACACTCAACTCTCCAAACAGAAAGGAGAGAGGGATCTGTGGGTCTCAAAGAGATGAAGAGAAGCTAGAAGAAACACTGGATAAGAGACTAAAAGTAAGGAAATCCCTGTGCACACAAGCACCTGTACGCACAGTCTTAAGACGGCAGGGCTCCTCCACGAGGCACCTGAGATGGACAGATAACGCAGGAGGAGGCGAGCTGTAAGTGGAGGACAGTTAAAGAGGCCAAGTGGGAGGAGGAGGAGGAGGAGGAGGAGGAGGAGAGGAGCCATGGGTCACAGATCAGAGGTGAGGGGTTTTTATCGCTGTGTTACGACCCCCGGTGACCCACGTGTGCTGCCGCTTGTGTTACTGTGATGGAAACGGAAGAGGCTAAACCGTTTTAGAGATCACCTGCACTGAGGGGGAGCAGAGAGGGTGGGAGAAACAGGAGGAGACAAGAAGCCGTCACTTAACAGGGTCAACAAAAAACAAAAAAGAGAGATTGTGTAACGCTGTAAATGTCCGTAAGTGCTATTTTAATTGTCTGGATGTGTCAATGCTTTATTTGGTTGCAGTTTTTTCTATCTCCTCAATCATTGAGTTTGTGTCGTTGTGATCACTTATGAATAAATATGTCAAATACACATTATACTTTTATTTTATTTATGTTTAAACCTTTTCAGGAGTGACTGTTGACACAATACTGCAGTGAAACACAAGTAAGTTTGGCAGGGTTTTGTTTATGTTTGTATAATGAACAGTTACAGAAAGGGCTCAGTCAATAGAGACACTAACGCGTCAACATGAGCTGGTGGGAATGTGTTATCCCGCCTCGGCTCTTCTGTGTTGAGTTTCAACAGTCACGTGAATCTACGTTAACGAAATATTGAGGTTGTCATTTGAGCCATTGGTGTTTGCGCCCCGTTGTGATTTCTTTATGCTGTGGCGTCCGTAACTCTACAGGGAGCACTGCATTTACGACTCCTTTCTCATGTGACTTCTCCTGGGAGCCCGGAGTCATCTGCAGTACCACAGGTATCAGCAGCCATGTTTGATTTAAAAATTAACTAAAGGTCCTTTTATTAAAGGTAGTCTAAATGTAATTGGTCTGCTATACATCCTAGATTTTACAATAATCGTCAATCACTTTGTTATTTTAACATAGGCTGAAACTTACAAATATTGTCGTTATCAACTAATCTGCATTTTTTTCTTCTAGATTAATTGATTAATTCTGTCAATTGAATGACAGAAAATAGTGAAAAACCTGAGGAAATGCCATTTAATGTCCTGTTTGGTCATCTTAAACCCAGATATTCACTTTGATGTGATATAGATAGAAAATGTATACATCTCCTTATGTTAGAGGCTAAAATGGGATTTTCTTTGCCATTTTTGTATAAATACCTACTATTAATAAATTAAACAGTTGATTAGTTGACTTATCATTGCAACTGCTTTTTTAACACAGAAACACAAATGGAAACAAAATGTTACATTGATACAATTTTTATTAAAAAGTTAAACACATAATTCAATAAACATTTGAAGTGCATACATGCATTATAAACACTTTGCTGTTCATCGTAGCTGCAGTCACTAAGATGTTTCCAGCTCTTTGGTCCGTAGCTTTTCTGTATATATTTGATGTTGTTGCAGCTCATTTTCCATAATCTTGTTCCATACAAAAAAATTGGCTTTTGACGAAGAAAAAGAAAGCTGCTTGGGATCCGTATCCACCAGGGTGCCCAAACATTGCATGGTTTATAGTGAGTGGAATGAGGACAGTTTGTTTTAGCTCTTTCGTAGCTTCATATACAAATGACAGTCTTGGGATGGCATATTCATGGTATCTCCTCCACTTTACAATCTTGTTACTGGGACCCATCCATGCTGTTTGGGACACACAGCAGATGCTTCTCTCTTTCTGTCCTTAGGTCCCCCTCATTTTTGAGCTTTAACCTGTAATAGAAAAAAGGAATTTAGTGTCATACTATAAAAGAGTTCAGAGTGAGACAAAAACAAGTACAGGAGTGCACATATTAAACCTGAAACCTTCCCCAGCCCCAACTCTCCTAATGGCACTCGTGCCTTCCCCTTCATCGTTAGTGAGATTTATGTCGGGGCCTTTCTCCCCCTGCACTCATGTTCTGCATGACTACACACCTCTGCCACTAATCACACACACCTTCTTAAATGCCACCTGCCAGGTCTGTAACCCTGTTTTGGTCCCTGCTTCACACAGCCCGGCTCATAACCTTTTTATACAGAAACACATGAACATGTCTTACCTTAGGGAAAGGGTACTCTGGAGTGGAGAGGCATGCAGCGTCTGTGTGGGCAGTAGTGGTGTCTGTGGTATTTCCTCCTAAATTTTAGGAAATCTAAAAAAAAAAAGAAAGACGATTAATTTAATATGCAGAACAAAAAGCTACTTGAACAGACATATATTCACCAGAAAAAGATGTATGACCATCACGAACCATAAAACAGCTATTTAGTAATTCAACACAACAGATTAAATGTGGAAACGGGAAGAAGTAGCCCATAAACTTGTCTGATCTCATGGGCTAATCGTCTTATAATTCACCCGGGCATGTACCCGCTAAATACTTTTTTCAAATGTTGAAACTGCTGGCATGATGTAACTGTTTGAATAATGGAATTGTAGGTGTAAAAGTCCCTAATAAGCTACATTTAGGTCTGCTGCTGGGGGACCTCTGCATATCACCTGACAGGCCTAATTAATCCCATATTGAGTAGGGTAACGCCTGAGATTTATAGGACCAGAAATAATAAAATATCACCTCCTACATTCGCCATTTTCACAGTAAGTATAACTTTGAAACTAATAAATCCTGTCTTAGTCTCTGTTGACCATTGATAAGCCCTTTTTATTAGTTTTTTACTGTTTGGGCCCATTTACCAACAGCAGGGCACCCCCTTTTAATAAACTGGGACACACAGACCTAACACATGATTATTTTTAAACGTCCCTATAATAACTCCACTTTGACTCCTGCGGTTCACAGACTGCTGGCCAAGCCCAGGAAGAGATAAAGTGCCAGATGACTTTATGACTCCCTCTCTCCCTCCCCCTTCTCTCCTCCCCTCTGAATGAAACTGCTCCCCACGCCTGAAGGTAGGGTTCTTTACACTTGGCACTGCTACTCCATGTCATGTTAATAAAGCTCGGGTATTTGCATGGCGTTTTAACACCGTGAATAACAAAAGCGCGCCGGAGTCCCTTCCAGCCGGGGACAAAGAGACTCTCTGGGGTCGCTGACTGTGCGATCCCCGTCGGCGCTTTGCTCCCGTCCCTCCCTCTTCCTCCTTCTTCATCCTCTCCATCATCACATGAACCTAATAACGACCTCAAGCCCCGAAGCCTCTCTGTTTAAGAACCGCTGTATGTCTCCACCGCAGATAACAGCATTATGCGCACCTGTTACGCCAGGCATGAGCAGCGTGGTGTCTACTTTTCCAATAATAAGAAAAAAACCTAACATTTAAATAGCGATTTTAACTTGTGAAAATAATATTAAAGTAATCCAAAACTGAGTTATGCAAGTGTTGCATTCAATGCTTGTTTGAAAAACGTAGACATAGGCTATGATGTCCAATGTAAATTAGTGTTTTGTGTATGGCTTTTTAGCGAGGTAATGCCACTATTTTTGTGTAAGCAAGGCCTTACTATTAGATATAATTTACATGTAACGAAATGGAAGCTATATTTTCAGTTATTTTGCTGGGAGACCCTCGTAAACGCGCCACATAGTGATGATTACATTAGCAAGCAACGTCCCGCCATGATGATTAATTAATTTTTTGATTCTCTTGGTATAATATCACACTTGTATCGTTAGAGATATTTATTTATTTTAAGTTGTACTTTGTTCAATGTACAATGATTAGGTTCTGGAGTTTCCCCCTTGGAAAGTTAAGATAGTTAATGTTACCCATTTTAAGAGGAAAAGTAGTACTGTTGCTATAGTTACTTCTTTACCGTAGATCGCGGAGTGATTTAGAAAGCTGTTATAACGATTTAGCTGAATTATAGTTCCAACTTGCAATATATGAGAGCATCCTCACCGGGCTAAAACGATAACAATTCTGAAGTATGTTTTCAAAATTGACCCCTTCGCCGGTTTTAACGAAAACTTGCTGAAACAGTTGGGATATCTTGACCGGGTAAAGATTAGCGATGCTTACCTGGTCTGGCGGAGGAGACTGATGTTAGAAGGGCAACGAGCAGCAGCAGCAGGTAGAGCAGGTTGAAGACCCTCATGGCTGGGCAGAAGTTCGCTCCTGAAGAGGTAAGTGAATGACAATTTTCCAAAAGTCTGGAGAGTCCCTGTGGCTGATGATGCTCAGTGTGGTTCTCCTTTTTCTCCTGCTCTGTTTCAGTCCAGATTTAGAAGGCCAACCACGGGAGGATCCAGTACTTTCCAGAAGCACCTCTTCTCTCAAGATCACAAGTAGGTCCCAGAGGAATGTGTGTCCAAATGTTTGTGTGTCCAGTGAGAGTGGGATTGTCTCCAAAGTCTGAGAGCAAAGTGACAAAGGTGCCTATTCCCCCCACCTCCTTTATATGGCTTTTAGAGGGAGGGGGCAGTATTTTGGGAGGGGGGTGTAGCTCCCACAGCCGCCCCCACCTCAACCCCTGACACACACACACACACACTTAAGCATTGCACATATTGACCCCACATGTAGAGGGTAATTCAAACAACAGGAAGCCCCCCCTTACCCTCCAACTGCCCCTTGAACACACTTTCCTGCATGCAAGTTTAATGCAAGGTTGTGTGTGTGCAACACAAGTAATGTTGATTTATCACTTCGAAAATTAGAGCAAAGATTTAAGAATTTGTGGATGGAAGTCAGTGGCCGGATGTTCGTTTTCCAAAGTACTTTTAAGTAGAAATGTAATGTAATTGTACTTTATTTTCGTTTTTATATTTATATTTTTTCGTTTGCATATTTCATACAACTTTATACTGTTGTTAAACTGCATCTCACATGCCAGTATTAGCTTACACATAGCTCGAGTTACTTTGCAGACTATATTTTTTCCTCACTTTCCTGTTCAGTGCCTCCAGATGTGTTGGATTTGAATGTTCGTTAACTGACGGATGAAATTACCCTTTATGAGTTGAGACCATTTCCTTACTTCTTAAGCAAAAACAGAAATTAAAATGTTACGGATCATGGCAGTTTTTCTGATCTCATTAACTTTTATAGATATATGATTCTCATAGGACAGTAGCGTTTCAAATAATTGGTGATCTTAAAGAATATCATGCATAGCTTAAGATAAAACTACCCAGTAACACATACATGAGTTAAATATGAGTAGTACTTAAACATCTACAGCAATGAAATGTAAAACATATTAAAACCGCATTCATACTAATACAAAAACATAATATTTGATAGTTAAACATTGAAAATGAGCATTTTAGACCTTTATTTTAAGTATTTTGTTTGGAAGTACTTATTTCAGTACAAGATCTGAATACTTCTTCCACCATGTTGAAAGTAGCAGGTTCTTAAAGACGGGAGAGACAGATCCCTCCTCTTCAGTTGTCCCCTACCCCCGCACCGGGGAGGACACACACATCTGGAGCTTTTGGGTGGTGGTGGTGGTGGTGGTGGTGGAGGGGTGTGTTTGCACCGAGCATTTGGGGGCCGGGGTCGTGATTGAATGAAATGCAGTGATGCACTGGACTAACGATGCTCAAAGAAGTCTGACTGTCTGTCTGGGAAGCCGTCTGTCTCTGCCGCTCTGCATGACTCTCTGTGTGTGGGGAAGGTGTGTTTGTAGATGTCTACTGGAAAGATTCCCTGATTTGAAAATGTAGTGAATTTCTCATTTTTGAAAACTGTTAAGTGCTGAAAAAGCAGGGGATTACAAAAAAAATTCTGTGATGATTGAGTAAAGTATTGAAAGGTAAACTGGCATCAAATGTCTTGTTTATTACTTTTAAAATATTATTTTATCACAAATGTCCCAATTTAAATCAAGATTTTGACCATTTTAGGCTTTTTTTGGAGGCAAAGTTCATGTACAGCTGCTTGTGTTTGGACAACATTTCATTATCTTTGTTTGATTTTCTAAATAGTGGCTTTGTAGAAAAGTTGTTTATTCAAGTCTAACTGCTCTAGTTCTGAAACATTGAAACAAATATTGAAATAATTCCCAGCACTGCCCCTCATGTCATGCAGGTGACATTCCAGTTGGGGTGAACCAGGGGGTTTTCTTGCGGCAGGTAAACCAGGTCACTTGGCGCGAGCTCTGCGTAACTACTGCAAAGTGTTGGGACTCATTAGCGTGTCTGCTTACAGCCGTCTCTGTGGACTGAGACTCTCCATTCAGCACACAGCTAATGAATTAACACATTAAGATGAAATGTCAGCCATTACATGTGAATGAGGATTAGAGAAGCAGCAGGACGCTAATGGACCAGGGGCTCAAAACAGTCTCAGAGACTTTGAACAAGCATCTGCACTATCGGCTCTCTTTACTCTTCCAAAATAGACAAAAGGAGTCTCTCTGCTTTTTGTTTTTTGTTTTTATGGTGTGTGTATGTGTCAGTGTCATGTCTCCAGAAATGTTGCCTTTATTGCTTTATGGTGTTTGCAAAAATGTTGCTGGAAATAACAGAGATTCCTCATGGATTTGGCTAATGTACAAACACACACACACTGGTGCACACACACATTCATCCTGCTGCAAACATTCAGCCAAGGTATGTAGTACGCTTCTGTGGCAAGCTGCACTTTGCATATCAGCTGCCATTGTCTTTTAAAAAAGTTTTTTCCCTATTTGAATATGCTAATGTCGTCTCAATTGTCATTCAGAGCCACCTGGTATCCAGTGCATCCAACTGCTGCCAGTTTCAGTTTGTTTCGGCTTCTCTCTCTCTGCCCCGCAAAACAAAAACAAGGGAATCATACCACCAGGTTTTCTGTCTGACTGGGTAGAGCGTGTTGTAATATTTGCTCTTCCTGGGGATTATACGTCTTTACAGGGATTACCCAGCCTGCTCAAACACTCCCCTACGTGAGAGACACACACACACACACACACACACACACACACACACACACACACACACACACACACACACACACACACACACACACACACACACACACACACACACACACACAGAGGGCAACCTCCTATTGCTGCTTCAGTAACTTAGCAGGGCTGCCCTGCGTAAATGAACCTTGCTCCACTGTTCTGTGATAATAATGAGCGTTTTCCACCAGATTTGTTAAACCTGTAAAAGGATTATAACAATGTCAGTCAGAATTTTCTAGAATCAAAGGTGATGTCAACCTCCAATGACTTGTTTTTTGCTTTAAACAGTCTTCAAATTGACAGGCGATCAACACTTTTTTAAAATAATAATTTAAATACTTTATTGAGGAACAATTCCTTAAACTAACTAGATTCACAAATTTAAAACATTTGAAAATGGCTTTTTTTCTCCGTTTTGAATCATTGTTTATTTAATAGACTGGAGTTTTTAGCCGTTGGACAAACCAATTGAGCACATTTATAACACTCAGACATAAATCTTCAAAGTCAAGATAATTAGACTGATCGTTTTATGCAATCTAGTGTCAGGTGTTGTATTAGCATTACTATCAAAAACATCACTTTAAGCCCTTGTATTGATCGGACTACTCACAATGAGCTCGTATCCCTCAATATCTCTTACCTTAATACAGTTGAACCCAACAGGCACAGTTCACATGATGACTGCAGAATGAATATCTGTAATCAGAATATTAGACGTCAACGCTCTGCTGAATCGACTGCTTCCATGGAGACACTTGAAAATGTCATTATTTTGTATCATTCAGTTAAAAGTGAGGGTACGAGTGAAATAGTGTGCAATATCCCATTAGTTATTTCCTGTTTGGTCTCTGTCCTGTGTAATTCAGGAAGGAGTTGAACTGCTGTTATTGCTTCTGCTATATGAGTGAGGGTCTTCCTAGTAGCTGTGATCTTTACGACCACAGAGGAAGCTTCAGCCTCTCCTCCCCTCCTCCATTTTCACTTTATTCTTCCTCTCCCATCATCTCCTGAACAGGACACAGATAAAGAACTTCCTCTTTGATAAAACTTGTTGAGAGGAACAGTACCTCATAAAAAGACTTTCTTTTTCCACTGAGCAGAACTAACATTGTACACAGTTGCATTTGTACACAATACTTAATTACATACAGAGGTCAGAATTAAAGGAAGACAATACTTCACTGGTGGTCTAGTAATTGTATGTGAGCTTGATTGTGTGTGGTTGCATGAATGCATGGTTGAATGTGTTGCAATGTTCGTGTATATTTTCAACATAAAGTCACCCAAATGTGTCCTTAGAGTCCTGGACAGACACTACAAGTTGTTTAATTGGGTCACCTTTGGCCCTGGGAAGTTATGATGGGAAATGTTTGGATTATTCACTACCTTTTTACTGTCACACATGAATCAATTAATCGATAAAATATTTGTTTGCTGTAGTATAACATTGTGCATTCCAATGTTGAAGATGTTATCAATAGCCGCGTTCACACCGAGTACTTTGCTGTACTTAGTTCCCGGCACTTAGTTATTTTTTTGGTGTGAACGCGACATCAGGGGTACTAACGGAACTAAACGCGAAAAGTACGGGTGAAAAGTACTCGGTGTGAACACGGCTAATGTAGCCAATATCCATGACCATGTCTTACACATCTGATTTTTCACTTGTTGGAATCTATCTTGAACTCCAATGTTTGATGGCCCGTTTTATGTAGTGATGCAAAATCAATTGAAAAAATCCGAGAGCTAGAAAAAACAAATCCTAAGTTGTGTGTTGACCGATGCACTCCGTCACGTGGACACAGAGGAGACTGTAGGTGGAAGAATGAGCAGCAGAACTGTTGTATGCCGCGATGTCTGTATTTGTTGGGGTGTAGTCCAGTGTGTATACGAGAAATGATTGTGATCTGATGGGTCAGTTCGTTTTCCATCGTTAGAGTGATAGTTTCTCTGTTGTCATGCCATACAGGTCGTCAGTGATAATGAGGGGCCGCAGCCAGCCAGAGCTTAATTACTCTTAAGACCCTTTATCTCAGATTGCCCAATGCAAACCTCAGTAGATACACATATACACATGAACAGCAGTGAACACCCAATCCACACACTAATAGTATGGACCATCAGGCTCTCACAAATAGGACGGGCGTTTTTCTTTTCTTCTTCTAATGCACGCAGTGGAGAAATACATAGGATCTCACGACGGTTGATTAACTTCGCCTTTATTCTGGAGCTCCTCCTCCCCTCCGCGTCGGCAACAAGACGGCTGACTGCGGAGGAGTGACGGAGGGCTCAGGGGTCAAGGGGCAAACTCAACAGGGAGCAGCCTTTAACCCCCCAGGATGTCACCCCAACAGGGCTCGAGGGGCCAAAAGTCACTTGGTTTGTTAAATCCTAACCCAGACACAGCGGCTTCTCTGGACACACACCCTGGGTCTACGCAGCGGCTTGGTGCTTTGTGGTTTTCTGACCATCAGTTGAGACAAATACACAAAGGACATAGAGAAAAGTATCACACATTTCTTTCTGATTGAACTTTTGTCAGGGTGCTTTTCAGTGGAATGTCATGTTTTGCTTGCCCACAAAATAGCATTTGTATGTGAGAATATTTCACAGCAATCCAGCTACACAAGATTGTAAATACAACTAATAACTTGAACTAGTGGGTGCGTTTTCTATCATGGGAAATCTAAATGACATTTTGTTCTTAATAAAACATTGACCAATAAATAACTAACATTTGCACCTAGATACAGGACCTACAAATTGTGACTGAAGACAAAATGTAGATTTTGCAGGTGTGTGTGTGTGTGTGTGTGTGTGTGTGTGTGTGTGTGTGTGTGTGTGTGTGTGTGTGTGTGTGTGTGTGTGTGTGTGTGTGTGTGTGTGTGTGCCACAGCTGCAGCAGGTGTGTATGACTGGTGGCAAATAGATTGGTACATATGTAAATACTAAAGACACATTTGCAGATTTAGAAAATTATAATTTAACAAACTCAGGAGGGACAAACATTGGATTCAAGCATTTGCCACACAGTACATTTGAATTGAAATTGTCACAAGTGTCAGTTTTAATAACCCAACTTTGTATGAGACTGGCTCAGAGACTTCATCATTATAAACACGTTTATTGTTACCATATTTTTGGAACAATCACAGCTACCTTTCAATACAATAACATTCTTTAATCTGATGTTAATTTTGAGTCATTCATGAGAACTTTAATAAATTGGAAGCCCTGTAGTACAGCAGATCCAGACAGAGATCTCGGAGTGTGACTTTATGGTTTCTTTCCAGCTTGTTTGTTGATCACTCTCTGCTTTTTGTTTAATGGCTGTGACTTCTTTGCTTCCCTGCCACAGTTTTCTGAAAGAGACCAGACATATTGTTCATTACGCAGCATGAGAAAAGCGGACGTTTGTCTGGGTGTGTCTGACAGCAGGCGAGGAGTGTTTACCTGGATGTTTTGCTGCTGGTTTGATGCAGATTGAAGCCAAGCTGAAGAGGGAGAAGATGAAGAAGGCAAAGATGATGAAGGTCAGCTCAAAACCGTCGAACGGCAGTGCCATCTACACAACTAGCAAACACAAAGCACGTCATTACTTTATGTAACATCTCCACACTACGAGGTCTGACACAGAAACTAACAAATCCTCTTCTGTGATCCTATTATGTTGACTCTGTTTATGCAAAAATAGTCTAAAAGAGATAAAGGAGGGATACTTCTTAATCTTTTTATATTTAAAAAGTAGCAGTTTACATAGTGGCATACATTCCTTTTCATTCTGTCATTCGGTCATGAATCAACCCATGGACAGGTTTAACTGTCCTTCAGAAATTAAATAGTTGTCTTGCTCATTCCATATCGCAAACATGTGCATATGAAGTTTTTCCAATATGCATTAATTAAAAGTCTTACATATAATCCAGGCATGATATGTTTGCATTTAGCAACATTTTGGATAAAGTTACTTAAATATGTATAACATAATGTAAATATTGCTCAATGAATGATCTAGGGCTCGGAGATTATTCAATATGATCATTTATTGTCTTCCAATGAAATAATAGGAAATCGTACAGCAAGATATCTTGATAAACAATTACATTTACTTGATTAAACTAATAATAGGCAAAAACTGATGTGAAATCGAATTAAAATATGCAGATTTGTTTATACATCACAATTTACTTTATCACTCAGGTTCATGTGGTTAACAAACTGGAATCTAACTTCAACCTGTAGTGGTTTTGTTTCCAAATATCAAACTATATATATAACGTTAATGATGGTTTTGTCTTTGCACGTGCAACCAAACCAGTTTTATCCTTACACATGTCAACCAAGAATGTGCTGCTGGGAATGTGTTACGAAACTACTTTCTCCACTTAACAAATCTGAGAGGGGAGCAACGCACAGAAAGATTGCTACTGGCTCAAACACATGTAGGCTACACTGTGGGTAAAATTAGGACTTTACTTGTATGGAACTCATATTAAACTACAGCTTATTCTGTCAACAAACTAAATGAAAATAACTCAAATAAATTCATTTCTCTGCACATATCCCAATGTTTTGCATTGCATACATAAAAATAAGTATTTTCATAGCATTACTGTTTACACACATCTTGAGGTGCAGTAGCATGTAGCTTCCACCAGAGGGCATCACATCCTTGCTTTTTGTCAGTCATTTGTTTTTTTATAATTAATCATGCTTTGCAGTCTCCATATCGTGCTGAGTTGTATCAGTTTACCATATTCGAACTCATAATTAGTCTCTGTTTACATTAAGGATAATTACTTCAGTTCTTGATAACACTTTGTGGCTTATTTGATTACAGAATCTTCTTCTCATTCAGCCTGAAACCTTGGAACAATCTACTTCACTTCAATCTAAGCAGTATCAGATACTGTGTTTAAGAATCACAACCCTAAGAGATGCACTACAGTATCATCGTATGAGTGACCGGTTGAAGGCATACATAAAACATTTGGGGTTGAAATCTAAGAAAAAATCTTGAGTGACAGAAGTTTGTTGAAATGTTCAGGTTAAGTTTACTTCACACATTTCTTTAAATTTAGTGTATTTTGGGATCACACCTTTAACCTGACCATATTGAACTACCTGAGCAGGTATCAACGTCACACCATGCAGTTATATGATCACTGCCAGACTGAATGGTTCATATTGGCCTGTGGTTCACACATTTCTCTTGCTACTGTACATCTGCTCATGCTGCGTAAGCTCCACCGATTGATCCTGGATGTCTGAAACCCACCTAAACCCTTCCAGCACAGTCTGAACTAGATTTCCTACAGAGAGATTAAACAAGAAAAAGAGGGTTTAGAGACTTACCTGTAGGAAGAATCTCAGCAGGTATTTCCAGATCTGAACTGCAAAATAAAAATGATGTGTCCTCACTCCACAGCGATTTCAAAGAGCAAGGAAAGCAGCCGTGACGACCGTCATTGAACAGTTTGCAGACACAGGCGTTTGTTTATTTAACTTTTTTACAGTGTAACATCTGGGACACACCTTTCTTTGTGCCTCGTCCTGGAAACAAGTCATACTGGATCCTGTAACAAGGTCCACAGACATACACACACACACTCACACATACACACACTCACTGGTTACCATTTAGACTTTGTTCTGACAACTGATAACACACACACTCACTCACTCCCTCTCACACATTGCTTCGACTGATATGTCCTCATAGAACATTCGACAAGTGAAAAGAGACCTCTGCTGCCCTCTGAAGTTTTTCATTCTCAGTCTTGAAACTCGAATCAGACGATCTGCTCCTCACTCTGTGCTCGTACAGTCATCTCTAATGGAGAAAATAATAAAAGGAGTCACTCAAAGAATATAAATATTTGATTAAATCATTATATAATGTATTCATAAAATATGTAAAGATATATCATAAACCATTATTAATGTTGTGTCTGAATATCTCCAGTAAAAGCTGGGTTTACATTTGAGTTAAGATCTTTTTAAAGATGTTTCAATACATTACATTCATTGTTTTTTCCAATTCAAAGGAATTGGAAATCAAGCTCACTGATGTTAGGAAAAGAGAGAAACAAACAGTTATATGAAAAGGAAAGAAATTAGACTTTAAAGGAGACCTTTGGATATAATTAAGGATGGGAACTTATAAAGCATTGAATGGTTTAGGCCTAAAATACATTTCTGACCTGCTAAATTATGAACCATCCAGAACTCTCAGGTCCCCAGAGTCAGGTCTGACTCTGGGGACAGGTCTTCTGGGGACAGGTCTTCTGTCCCCAGAGTCACAACTAAACATGGAGAAGCCGCGTTCAGTTATTATGCTCCAAATATCTGGAACAAACTCCAAGAAACCTGCCGGTCGGCTGCAACTCTGACTACTTTTAAATCCAGGCTGAAGACTTTTCTTTTAACTTTTATTATCTTTGCTTTTTAAAGCCATTTTCTTAATCTCTTTCATTTTTGTAATGCACTTTGAATTGCCTTGTTGAGTCCCCTCGTGGGTGGTTAAAATCCCCTACAGCACGTGTGCCGTTTTGGTTTCAAGACCCTGGTTCGCGGAGGACACCAGAAAAGTCCTAGAAAAGACAAGTTAAACTTAACTATGTGCATTTAAAGAAAAGAGGAATAGTTTTGGCGAAAACTAAAATGGTACCATCGGGTACAGGAATCCGTTTTGGTTGCAAGACCCTGGTTCACGGAGGATACCAAAAAAGTCCTAGAAAGACAAGGTAAACTTAGGGTCAGATTATAATTTTCCAAAACTGGGGTTCGTTTAGCGTGAAACACTTGAAATAATTAAAGGACAAGTTAAATAAGAAAGTAGAAAGAAAGGGTGGTGATAGAAAACTATTTCTGCTAAAAAGATATCAATGGTTGAGAGTCAGTGCTAAACATTTCAGGTGTGTGTATCTCACACTGCACTGTAACTTTAATTAATGTATCTTTGCTTTTAAATTAGTGTTTTTAAATGCCATTTTATAATATGTTTCTTGATGCTATTAATGTCTTTCACTTTTGTAAAGCACTTTGAATTGCCTTATGTTGAAATGTGCTATATACATAAACTTGCCTTGCCTATAACAAATGTAATATCATGATGGTCTGATAAATATAAACCGAGTGCTGAACAAATATCAGTTTCAGGGAAAGTTGAAAGAGCACTCTTGTGTTCTGTTTCAAAAAGAGGGCTCAAGTTTAAAACCAATTAAAGATTTAGGTTGATTAAAAAAGCCACTGGTTAAAGGTGGGGTAGGTAAGTTTGAGAAACCGGCTCGAGATACACTTTTTGTTATATTCCATGGAATGCTCTTAACATGCCGATAGCGATGAATATCTTAAGTGCTTTGACAAAAAATCCATACAAAAATGTCATCTGTGGAAGCCATGACTCGAGCTGGTTTCTCCAAAATTACCTTCCCCACCTTTAAAATGAATTTCAAATTAACTTCACAATATTTATCACGCTGTAGTTTGCTTTGTCGTTACTTAATTATTGGACATGATAAGATTTGCTTATTGTAACTATGTATAATGAATGTGTTTATGTTATTAGGTCTGTACAGTATATTCAATGCACACATTCTTTAGTTTAATTGGTATAATTGTTGTTATACTTCACTATACTTAACATTTATATTATAGACATACCAACTACAGTCTCAAAATGATCTCTCTCATTTGAGTCCTCACCTCTTGACAGCTTTAACAAAAACAATATAACCCTTATGAAGTAAGCTATTTTAGCGGCATTGTTGTATTAGACCAAATCAGATTTTAGCCCTAATGAATTGATTGTGTTTCTCTATTTCTCCCACACCATTAGAAACTTGCATGACAGCGCGAGTAATCTTTAAAATTCATCAATATTTGAAATGCAAAGTGTTCTAAAAGTAAAAAAATGTCTATAAAGGGACTAAATGGTTGTGTGTTTGCAGTCGTACCGTTGGAGTGCACACGTTCCTCAGTGAGAATCCCAGTGAGTGTGAAGAGGGCGAACACCAGGAGAGAGAACCCGATCGTCAGCACCTCCAGCTCAGTGAACGGAGAGGCCATCTACACCACCTGCAGCTGGGAACGCTCCATCTGTGAGTTCAGCACCCGGCATTGCACACTGAATCAAAATGATTATTGAACACTTACCCAGAGTGTGTGAGCGCTAAGATGCTTCCTGACAAACACACACACACACACACACACACACACACACACACACACACACACACACACACACACACACACACACACACACACACACACACACACACACACACTCTCTTTTTCAAACACTTGGTTGAGCTGTGAAAAGCAGAAAAACACATCCCTTCCTCTCATGTTCAAGTGAGATCATATGTCCCTTATTATTAATGATGTGTGTGTGTACACAAAATGGACAAATGCATTGATTTGAAGTGATTGCTTTCAGGTGGAGATGTTGTTGTGGTGGAAAGTGGGTGATCTTCTAGATGCCAACATTCTTTTCTGAAACTTCTCACAGAAGATAACCATCAAGTGGTTTTCTAGCTTTCCTGATTCAATGGAACAGATATGTTTCTTTCTGAAACCCTCTACTATCTTCTAAACAACCACACCTTCCCTAAACGCATGTTAAAAAGATTTGCAGGCCACAATTATTGATTGTCTACTGTAGCACTCAGTTGTTTTTTAAAACAAGAGACCACAAAACAAGTGTGTTAGGACCTCCCCATTTCTGTGTGTGTGTGTGTGTGTGTGTGTGTGTGTGTGTGTGTGTGTGTGTGTGTGTGTGTGTGTGTGTTAGAGATATAAAGGAAGTGGTGGGTATGAGAGGCTGTCAAGCTCACAACTCATACTTGTAAACCACCAGACTTTCAAACACAGTATCACACCGTCTTTAACGTACTGTCATTCCTTCCTTCAGAATAGCAGGGAATGAAATGCCGAATAATAGTTTATAAGAGGTAGTAATAGTTAATGTGATTGACTATATAGGTATGTGTATAAAACAGAATGATAGGGTGTGTGCATAAGAATAGCTATGTGTGTGAGAGAGTATGATTGAAAAGGAAGTTAGTTTGATTGAAAAGGAAGTGAGTTTGATTGAGATGGAAATTGGACTAAATTCTCAGTTCCTGATTGGCTCTACGTTTTTCGTTTGACGGACACCGCCCAAGAAAGGCAGTAGACTGCCACTTTCCCCTATGCAACCTGAAGAGTAAAAGGGTCAAGTCCGTCAGAAAGCCATGACTGTAAGTGTAAGCCTTACACTTACACTGTAAGGATTAGTAACATGTATTATGTTTATGTGATGACATTTGGAGATGTTTAAATTGATGATAGTCTATTATCATTCAGGTTAAGAAACTGGTGTTGCTTGCATCCGATTTTAAAGGCATTTCTTTTTATACTCTACGAAAATGCAACAGAGAAAGGGTTTGATTCTATTAAAGGTGGGGTAGGTAAGTTTGAGAAACCGGCTCGAGATACACTTTTTGTTATATTCCATGGAATGCTCTTATCCCGATAGCAATGAATGAGCATTAAATGCTTTGACAATAAATACATAAAAAAAATTGTGGAAGCCGTGGCGCTGTAAAAAGCACGACTAATCATTTTCACCGGCCCGGCTAAAATAACTGGATGGCCTACCTGCCTGTCAGCCTTCCATCTGTGCACAAACTTATCTCGTGTGNCACGACTAATCATTTTCACCGGCCCGGCTAAAATAACTGGATGGCCTACCTGCCTGTCAGCCTTCCATCTGTGCACAAACTTATCTCGTGCCCTCATTGGTCATGTGCGCGTTCGTGTGTGTTAGGAAGTGGCAGATTTTTTCTGGGTGTGTATTTTCAAATTCTAGCGCACTTGAGCTGGTTTCTCCAAAATTACCTAACCCACCGCAGATTCCTGTGTAGCTTCAGATCTGAGTTGTCTTATTAGTAAGCCTAATTTATACTTTTGTAGCAACAATATTTTTATATAATGGCAAAGAAAGAGTTCAGAGTCTTTTCTTTTTTTCCTGTGTCATATGTGGCAGCACTGCCACAAGTTCCTCTTCAGAGACTTCAATGTTTCTTGAAAACATTACCCACTGTAGTATGTGACGTGTGAATAAACTCCAACTCTGTATCAACAACACTGTTGTGTAACTTCAGTTAAATACTTGTATGTGTGTAGATTAGAAAGAGGTAAGATAAAGGATCTGCAATATTTTATGAAGTATTAATAAAAGTAGAAGTGTGTATTTACCTGGTAGTAGGCTGTCAGTAATGGCTACACCTCTCTATTTGGACTGGTAGATCTCGGCAGACTGGCAACTTTAAAAGTAGCTCTCGGTTCAAAAAACATAAAACATTTTTTTTTTAAATCTTCCGGAGGAGCATGCCCAGAGGTGATTTCCACCACCTGCCCACACCCACTGTCAAATTGTCCCACCCACATTGAGGATGCTACCTACGCCCATGTCAGAACCTCCCATTAGTGGTTTAATAAAACAGATATTTCAACGTGAGCCTACTTTGTTCATGTGCTGTTGAGGTTAATTTCAGTAGTTGCGTGCTATAATGTATTTAAGTGTGAAGAGGAGGCAACTTTAGAATAGGGAACCCTTTTCAGGTCAATTAGAGTCAAACTACTAGCTTATTGGTTATGAACAAGACTTCACTTTAAAATAGGGAACATGTTCTTAGAAATAAATACCTAATTTTGAGTTATTTAGACTTAATTAACACTTATAGTTTCATGTATTGTTCCATAAGGATAGATCATATTTGTTAAGTGTTAATATGGGAGAATTACTATTTTTGTGATACTACTGCCTTATTAGGCCCATATTGAGCATATTAAGACCAAACTACTTCCTTACTTGCAATAAATAAGCACCAATTAGAGGGTTATTGAGGAAAAACTATTACTATTAGAAAAACTATCAACTACTACTTGTAGAATATGGTCATGTAGAATAAGGCATTAATAAGTGTTTTATAATGACTAATGAAGAGCAAATATACTGCTAATATGCATATTAACAACTAGTTGATGGTGAATTTGTGTACCTTAATATAAAGTGTTAACAAAAGTTCTTATTGCAGCTCAAATGTAGCTAGCAGTGCTCTGATTATATTGTAGTGTGATGTTGTCTGTAAGTGGGAATAATAGAGTTTCTAAGAAAGTACAGTTTGGTACTTAAGTAAGTTTGATTTATGGCCCAGACAAAAGTGTTTGAAAGAGAGTATGATTGTGCGTGTCAAAGTGTTTAGCTATATGTATAAAACAGTTTAATGGTGTATGTGTGAGATTCTGATATAAGACCAAGTACGAGTTGTGAGCTAGACGGCCTCTCATAGGTGGGTGTACTAATCTGGGTCACATATTTCTGCACTTTTTCTGTGGTGAGAAAGGGGATGCTGGTAAAAGAATGTTGTACATACAAATCATAACTTATAGGTCTTGCAAAAGAATCTGAATGTTTTTATTCCTACAAAATTACATTATATATTAGAGGGGTGTTCTTTTTAGTGAATCTGTAAAAAGTAAAAAAAAAACAAGCAGGTAAAGTAGAGACAGGAGGTCAGTTCAAGTTCAGTTCAACCAACACAGGTGGATTTCTAGAGAGCATATTAAATGTTAAAGAAAGAACAATTTGAAAAAGTATAAATAATAAATCACTTAAAATGTACAAACGAGGATTTAGACATGTAATGTAGTAACACGATAGACAGGTAATGCGTACTGTTGTCAAGGTTGTATACTAAAATGTGTGCAGGTATTTACTGGATAATATATGCAAAACAAAACATGTAAGAGTTTCACTACAGCCTGTTTATGACACAACAAATACAGTGTTAGTCTTTTGTTTACACTGTGGTAAATATTCCTCAACTTAATGCACACCCACTCATCTGTAGAAAAACGTAACAAATGAACTAATGTTATTAACACAGTCACGTCTAAAAAAGTAAAATAATATTGGGTTGTTAGCGACATATAATTCACGCAATTGTCATATGGTTCATCTTAAACTTTCAAATTAAACAGAAATGATTATCAAAGTGTTTTAATTAAGTGAACAACATCTATTGCTGCGTCAATCTTAGCCATGCATTATTGTTGCCAGTTCTCTCTAGGTTTTTCTGGCTCTGGCACAAGAAAAACCTCATCTATTATGAAACAACTTGGACATGCTACAAACTGTGGTTTAAAATTCCAGATTAGCTTCAATGCATTCATTATGTCACTGCCCAGTGCACGAGAGTTCGCCTCTTCACCTCAGTAAGCTGCGGATTTGACTGATCACTGTAAGTGTCCCATTTTCCAGTTATATCAATCATAATCCTCATGACCTGAGAGATTCTGAAATAGGATTAAAACCTCCACCATAAACACACACACACACACACACACGTACACACTTTCTCTGAAGACATTGAGTATGGTTGTGAAAGGTTTTTTTCTTCATGGCGGGTCACATAGATGATTAATTGGCCTTTTTCTTTTTTAAAGGAAGAAATAGGTTTCAGCCAGCAGGGAGTTCCTGAACAATCAGACACTGTGTGCGCGTGTGTGCGTGTGTGTGTGTGTGTGTGTGTGTGTGTGTGTGTGTGTGTGTGTGTGTGTGTGTGTGTGTGTGTGCGTGTGCGTGCGTGTGCGCGTGTGTGCATGTGCGCTGCTGTCCATTTGCACAAGTTGAGTAAGCTTATTAGCAGCACAACTTGTCAGAGGAGGAGATTGAGGTTAGTCTGTGTGTGTGTGTGTGTGTGTGTGTGTGTGTGTGTGTGTGTGTGTGTGTGTGTGTGTGTGTGTGTGTGTGTGTGTGTGTGTGTGTGTGTGTGTGTGTGTGTGTGTGTGTCAGCCACCAGTATCAGCTGACAGTTTTTTGAACTCACAGAATCACTCAGGCATACAGTACATGCATGCACTCAGCGACCTTTTATCACTGCTCCCTCACTTGGGGTTTCATGCTTTCAACTGCACCTTCTGTCAGCCTGACATCACATCATAGCACCTCATTGAACATCATGAACCACCATAGAACATAACATCATGTTATGTTACATGCACAAGGCTACAAAGTCATTTTGTCTGAAAGCAGAGAGCATTCAAAGTAGTGTTGAGTATTTCTGAAAACTATACCGTTTACAAATCGTGGTTGTAACTATATTGTTTTGTGATTATTCAGTCTTTTGATTCCAATAAGAATACTTTTTTCTGTTGATAATGGCGTCACTGCAAACCTACTGAGGAACATAGTCCCTGACGTCAGTAACTGTAATAGAAAATGGTTTCACTTCCTCATTTTTGGCCCCATTCTCAAGTAATTTATTCACTAACCTGCAGTCCTCACAACACTTTTTTTGAGTTTTAACTAGACATCTTCATGGGGCAAAAAACCTCTCATTCTTTGAAAGCTGCGATCCGTTCCAATGCAGAACAGAGAAATGTCAAACCCGAAGACACAGACCTTATAAACACCAGTTTCACAGCTGATTGCTATGAACAAAATGCTGAGGCTAATTTACAAGTTACCAAAACAAAACTGTGTGTCATACTTAATGTAACAGCAGTATATTCTTCTCAGTGCCTGGCTTCCACACATATGATCTATTCTCCTTGCCATGAAGTTGGTATAATACCACATGCTGTTAGTTTAAATCAGCAGGAGAGAGGTTTTGTTACACCTAATGACCATTTAATAATTGCTCTTTGTATTATAGCCATTGCTTGTTGTCACCAGTCCGACCTCTGACCTGAAAACACACACACACACACACACACACACACACACACACACACACACACACACACACACACACACACACACACACACACACACACACACACACACACAGCGCTTCCATCAACTCGGCTATCAAACAACCAGGGTATAAACATAACAAGCAGAAACTGAATACGCTTATTGAATAACGCAGGTCTAGGGTTCGCATTTTCTTCTAATTAAACTCCTAATACAAATTACATTCAACCAAGCCCAAATACAAAAGCAATAGTAATATAACGTTTAATTTTTATTAACTTAGCTATTAAGATAAAGAGCTGGTTTGCGAGCACACTAGTTGGTCCTTCAAACATCTTGGATTTATAAAGATTCTACTGGAAATTAAAAAAACTGTTTATGAAGGAAAACACATGGAAGTGTAACATTTAAAGGTGGGGTAGGTAATTCACTTCAGAAACACTTTCCATGGAATGCTCTTAACATCCTGATAGCAATGAATATATTAAATGCTTTGACAATAAGTACATAAAAAATGTCATCTGTGGAAGCCGTGGCGCTGTAAAAAGCACGACCAATCATCTGAGCCGGCCCGGATAAAGTAACTGGATGGCCTACCTGCCTGTCAGCCTTCCATCTGTGCACAAACTTATCTCGTGCCCTCATTGGTCACGTGCACGCCCGTGTGTGTTGGAGGAGGGGGTCTATAAGGAAGTCTGAAGGAAGGGGCAGATCTTTTTCGGCTCAAACTTTCAAATTCTAATGCACTCGTGCTGGTTTCTCCATTCTTACCTGCCCTACCTTTAAAATGCATTGGATATTCTCTTTAAAGTCTTGCCTAGGTGATGCAATCTTTAAATTACATCCTGTTTTCTTCCAGAGTTTGAACAAAGCTGTCTTGTTCTTTATGTTTGTTTCATATCATGGGGGATTTCTATATTTGATTTCTCTATTTATTTATATGCTCTTTTTGCTGGTTTGGGGTGGATAAAACTGTGTTGAAAAAATGTGATTTCCCTGGACCAATCAGAATGAAACAACTTGCAGTCAGAATGTGATGAGGACAGCTTCTTAGTTGTTTTGGTTGTGTTGCCACAGAAACAACCACAACAACTCAGCCCTGATGAAGCAGGTTAGCTATATTTAATGCTGATGGATCTATACTTTTGGATATTCTTCTTATTTTCCCTATCTTAAGGTTCTGTTAGACATGCCATAACCAAATATGATCTGTGCAGCTGCAGCTTCATGGTTGGTTGTCTAAATGTAGCTGTAGGTGTTTTTTTATCCTGACCCAGAGCACAAAAAAAAAAACGCTCGGTCAACGCTGCATCACTCAATCCCCTCCACAGAAACATGCATATGTCCACACAAAGACTCATCAATGACTGTGCTGAGCATCAGATTCAGAGTGCTGGCAGAGGAGCAGGCGCTCAGGTAAGGGAGCGCAGGATGTTAACTCTGATGCTGCACTTCATCACCGCTGAAATCTGAGTTGAGGCTGGTACGAGGCTCCGGCAGTAAGGAGGCTGGTGCGAGGCTCCGGCAGGAAGGAGTTGTGTGTTTAGCTGTGATCCTGTGTGAAGTTAACTGTACTTGAAATCTAACTTCAGTTTTGGTGATTCTTAGGACTGTCAGGCGTATGATTCAGAACGCTTAGAATGATGCATTACAGGTTCTCTGCATGTGGTGAGGAGAATAACCTTTGGATTTTTGGCAGTCTGTATGGAGACTACCAGTCCAGTGTACAACTGTAAGAGCCTTTTAGGAATGTAAGATATTGGCTCATATGTTTATGGGAATAGATCATTTGCCTCTTTAAAAATGTATTCTGTAGTCTGTCTGTGTACATGAGTCATAAGAGCGAAAGACATGTGGAATCTGAGTATGTGTACCATGCACTGTACACACACCAGTGTACAGTACAGAAGCTACTGCTACTTAAAGGGCTTCTCAGACAAAGGAAAGTAATGAGACTGGATGACAAAGCAAAGATAGCAACCAACATTCAAAGGGTGCTGGTGAGCAGGCGAACGATTCTTGTTGTTGTTTATTTTATCTTCCGTTCAGAGGTTCATTATCATAGGTTAGTAAAGACAATGATATTGAAAATGCAGAAAAAGTAATTTTCAATAATATTTTGATAATCGACCACAATCTATACTTGTAGTTCAACTCATTGATTTTCTGTCTGTGCTGTGTATAGATAGATAGATAAATAAAAACACAAGGCAATGTACATAAGAGAAATTAAGACACAAGAAATAAACAGTCCAAAATATTTCAGAAATAGAAATAAAATAGCATTACAAATTAAAAAAGTGAAAGAATATAAAATAAAAAAAGCTTTCTCTTTTCTTTTCTTTTTTCCAGAAGAAAATAAAGAAAGGAAACAGAGGGAAAGGTCTCTGTCAATACAGACAGCGCCATACACCTCTAGGGGGGCATAGAGGGAGTACTTTGGAATCTGTCATTGTGCCTTCATTGGAATGCACTGACATTTGAAAAACACTGCTGCTAGCTAGATGAGGAGACAGATATCAGTTTAACATCTTCAGTTGTGTTTATCTCAGCTTGGCACAAAGACTACACGTTTGGGGAAAGTGCTACCCTAGCTCGGTCAAAGAATCTTCCAGCGATAGCTTCAAATTGTGGCGTGTTTTTTTAAGAATCCTACATATTGGTGTCATAGGTAATATTCTCATCATCTCATCTAATCGTAATTAAAACACGTTATCACCATCCTATTTCTAAAGAACAGCACTCTACACTACATTCTGTTGTTGTGAAATTAAAATGTATGCCACAACTTAATAAATTCACATGGTTTGTTTTTCAAAATCTCTCTAAATGCAGTTTTGGTCAGCTTAGTTTGGCAGAGATTAACACAAGGCACTTCTTTCCTCTGCCAAAATAGCAGAATGAGCTTCTCGCAGTCAGACTTCTGTAAGCAAAGACATTGTAGTTATATCAGAATGGATCTCTTTTACGACTCAATTAATAACCGATGTGTCTTGTTAAACTACCAAACATTACAATCGCACACTACACCAAGTCCATGTCTCCTCTGTAATCTCACTTCCTGAGGAGGCTGCAGAGTGTGCGCATTGACTCCACACAGGTCTACTGATTTAAACCTGGCTGTCAGCAAATCCTTTGATCAGATTAGACCAAGCACTCTTCCACTGTCAACGTCTCTTTTATTTCACTGACTGTACATACAACTGTGTCTGTGTGTGGGTTGGTTCAGGCAAACTCTGCTCTGTTCTTCATATTTCAAATCAAATATATTTAAAGAAGCCACCCACATGTGACGTTGCTAACATCAACTTTGAACTCTGTGTATATCCTGTAAGATACGTAAAGCATATAACTTCACAGCTCACCAATTGCGTTAAACCACGTATAATATATTTTATTCAAAAATTGTACAAACAGACCTCTAACATGTATAGCATGTAAGCAGGCATATTCATTCATGACATTGCTGCAAAGCTACAGTATCGGGACGCAATATATTTTCATGTTCAAAATATTTAAGTATATAATTGACTTAAAAAAATAAATGCCAATTCTCTCTTTATGTCAAAATAAAACAACAACCACAAACAAGTACACCTCTCCTTTCTTCTTAAATATCAAAGCTATTGATTTTATACAAAGTCAGAGCTCACATCCAACCTTTGCTAAAGTCCCTTTTCTGGTTGCTTCTCCGTGTACAATATCTTTTAAGAACCTTTTATTTGTGTTCAAATGACTCATGGATTAGCGCCGGAATTCCTGTCGGACATGCTCTCCCTGTTTGCTCCACCTAGATCCCTCAGGTCCTCTGACACTTGCCCTTTAATTATTCCCAGGATGAGGACAAATATATAATGGGACACAGCAATTAGTGTCCATGCCACTCACCTGCAAAGAGAGCAGAGAGCACCACAATCTGTAAATACCTTTAGACGATATATAGACTATACAATCGAATATCTGTTTAATTTAATTTCATGTCTTACTCTCCATCACATGTTCAATCTTGTATGTAATGCACTTTTCCGACAGAAACATTACTATTTTAGCTAAGGATGAAAGCCAACTAAAAGAAGTGATGTTGGTAATCTTGATTTGAAAAGAAAATCTGACATTTTTCAAGTAAGATTTCTTGTTGCAATCTGGTAGTGTCCAATTATAACTGTCCCAATAGTAAGTATAGAGGCAACATTCTCTTTTTAGACCTCTGCCAAGAGATTCTAGCATTTTAGTGCCAAAGAATCTCTAGATAGGACACTGCTTCCTATGATGGAGATACATGGTCTGTTGTACAGGCAGATTGTGATATATAGATAATTCAGATTTGTGTTCTACTGAATTACCCAAAACCTGACATTTCTCTTAGGTTATTTAATCTATTACTTATTTTAAATGTTTCGTACAGAAGATCTTGTTTTGTTCACGATGTATCATCACTCTCAGTACTTAGTAACTCCCACACAGAATCGCCCTCTGGTAACTTGTGTAAGAAGCTGCAGGCGGGAAACGAGGTAAAAACAGTCGGAGGGTTGAGTTCAAGGTCTGACCATTGAGTTTGGCAAACGGCACTCTGGGAAGTTCTAGAAAACGTGCTATGAGTTTGCTATAAATAGAGACACATTGCATGCAGAGCAGCATTATATCCACTTAGAGAAGGAGGACCAGGTAATAGGATTGGTTGTCTTTAGCCCAGGTCAGAATTAAATAACAAGGACACGAGGCAACGCATGACTCCTGACGCAGGATTGTTAACCAATCAACGCGCAGCCAGTTAACTCAGAATAACAATGGATTCTCCTGAACATGTAGTATTAGGTTAATTTAATTACAATGTTTTATTGCAGAATAAGAGCATTAGCGTGTCCAATTTCCTATATTTAGCTACTGCAACACAAAGCATAAGGAATCGCCCCTAGTGTCTGCTTTCTGCTCTTTAAATGAGGACATTTTTAGATTGTCTGTCTCCTATAAATCATTACAGTTTTGTATCATAACGTACATTTTCCATATTTGTATATACTAAACTATGAATCAATGTCATAACAGTAATAACCTACAGCAAGTCATGATGTCATGATTGAGCTCTTACCCTGAAGTGAGTGAAGTATTGTGTAAATGTATTATCAATGGATTACCTAGTGTTTTGTGCTATAGATAAATCACTGATTCAAACACTTTGTGCTTCAATGACCAACATCTCCTGTTCTCTAATGATTTTCCGTTTCGCCCTCTCCCTGCAGGGGAGGAAGGCCCCCGGCCGCTCAGGGAGTCGATCCAGCAACATCTCCAAGGTAACGGCTGAATATCAGGGAGCTTAAAGGGCCAATGCCAATGCCAATGCCATGGTTCAAAGGGTGGAAAGCTTTGTTAACCCAAGCATAGTCTAATGTGCAAGATTGTGCTTGTATCCCTTATATCTGTATGACTCATGAGACAATACATGATGCTTTGATATTTGTTGTTATTAGCTATGACCCAAATTACATTGCGTAATGTGGAAGAGTTACTCAAAGTAATACAAAGTTATAAACCTGCATATAATCATCACTTTAATTCAACACAACACAGAAAAACCAAAGATAAAATAAATCTCTACATAGCTAATATGTAAGCAGTACTTTATATGTTAGCTTGTTAGCTTATTATGGGTTCCAAACAATTGTCGCAGCATCATTTATATTTATGGTTTATCAATATGTTTGATTATGTAATCTCTACAAAGTCTGATAAGAGGTTGTGATCACCTGATTATATTTGATTTAAGTTGTTATGATTTCCTAGCAGGAATTTCATCTACATCTACTTGTTTTAGGCCAGCAACTCCACAGCAGGACCAGCTACAGCCTCAAGAACATCAATCACCCCGTCCTCTCAGGACATTTGCAGGTGAGCCAGCGTTCTCTTTAAGTTTTACCCAGAATTACAGAATGTGGACAACGAAAGCTCCAGCCACAATTCTCTCTGTGACATTAAGCCGCACATTTTACAGCTTCACCTCCACCGATAGGAAGACTGATGAAGCACGGGCCTCAGCACCCAGGCGGCGTTAACACAATTAAAATGGATGCCAAACACCAATGGTGCTCCCAAAGCACAATCATTAAAGGGAAGATGGCTGATGGCAGAAATGTGATTCAGCTTATTATATCCACTGGTGGTTGGTTGTCCTGTCGAGAGGCTCTGTCCTGTGGTTAAAAGCAGAGAGGACACTCTGTTTATAGCAGTGTGGACACGTGATGTATGTGAGTGTGTGAATCTCCATCTGTTACATAGCATGCTGAAATGATTCCATATTCACTATTTCTTATTCTGATTAACCAGCCTGGTAATCATTTTTTTTCACTTAATTATTCAGTTGTACATCATGTCCCACTGTTCTGTATCTTAGGAGTTATTTTTATATACCAACGCCGGCAGGTGGGGGTTTCTAGGAACAGCTCATTTAAAGTGGACCTATCATGCTATATTTGAATAATATAGTGTAGGACCATACCTATATAAAGGCATATTTATACTTTTTATTTTTCAAAATACCAAACAGATCATGCATTTTAGCCATTCCTCATTTCGCTCAATTTAACACTGTCTTTGAATGTTCTGATTCTGTGAGAACAGCTCCATCTACAGGCCTGGCATATGTACTACAGCGTCTCCAGCGCTTTCGAACGGCAATGTCCGTGGCTGTCTCCTCCTGATTGGTGGAATTGGCCCAATAGCCGTAGCGCCACTTCTGTGACGTCATAGAAGTGTTCAAATCTGGATCAGTCTGTATCAGATCCGTTGCAGCCCCTTTTTAAGAGATTTGGGTATGGAGGAAAATAGAGAGGGTTGTATTTTCTGACACTTGGTGAGTTCCCTGAAACACCGGGGACACATATTCATGTATACAAGACGTACAAAAGTGCATTTTGCATGATAGGTCACCTTTAATGTTTTTTATTTTAATTAGTAACATATTTCAAATCTAGACGTATCCTTTCTCTAGATTGACTTGAGCTCGATCTCACCACAGTTCAGATATATGAATTGAGATTCAGCATTACAGAATAATATAAATACTCTGAAGCTGACAATTGAGCGGCCCGACCAAGCAAGGAGGCAGAGGCAGAGAGTTCAAATATAACACGGTGTGGGCATTTATTTCTCCTGTGCACATAGTCACCAGCCTCAATATGACTGTCCTCCCTGAACACAGTCAGCAGACACAAGGATCTCCCACACACTACCTGTCCACTGACAGGGAAACCAGAGCCTAAATACACACACTAATCAATCAACAAGACACAGGTGAGGGGGGAGGAGACAATACAGGGCACCAGGTGAACACAATCAACCACAATGAAGCTATACAACCTGTAACGGAGGCCGAGATCTATGGGCCCAGAGATCACCTCCGTGACATACTCCCTGCGAGTGGAATCCTAAAAAATGCAGATATAGTTAGTTATATCTGCCCAGGTATGGAGAGAGTCCAACCTTCAGTCACTTACAATGGACTGAAAGCTCAAGGTTTCTAGGAGTACTGTAGGATATTCAGGATCGCTAGGAAATCTCACTGTAAACTTTTTTCTTTTAAAGAAAGCTGCAAAACATTTTGACAGTAAGGTCTGTCTTTTATCGACAGTGACAGAGATTCTGGAAAAAGCTTTTTAAAATATTTTTCCCCCCATAAGAGTAAATCAAATCCCCCTCCATTGCATTGGGTTAAAAAGTGACATTTAGACCAGGACAAAACAATCTGAAGTGCTAAGTAGTTGCTAACTCATAAACTACTGTATGTCTTTTGTAATTTGGGTGAACGGACCTTTTCAGAGTAGCTGTTTAGTTCATGTCGCCACACTTCATGTCATTTTACTTCACATTATTCTTTTACACATCTTCATCTTGTGTGTGTGTGTGTGTGTGTGTGTGTGTGTGTGTGTGTGTGGCTCTAGCG